AACACATCAAACAAACGCACTGTTCCCTTAATGGCGGGAAATTAGATCTCTCCTCCACCGATGCCAACAATACTTTCCACCATTTGTAACTTCGTTTTTGTATCTTCTCCACCAAACAGCTCCGAAAAATTACCACTGATACTATAAAAGAGTACGGTCTAAATTAAATACATCTCAATCTTGCCTGTTGATATATATATATATATATATATATATATATATATATATATATATATATATATATATATATATATATATATATATATTTTTTTTATGTTTAACGTTCTTTTTTATAGATACAAGTATTTAAGTAAATATTAAATAACATGTTTTATAATAAACAGTTTCATAAATAACATTTACCGGCCTGAATGTCGAAAACCGTTTTTTTACGCTGACATTCGTGCTTTGACCGGATTCAAACCTGCGTCTATCGGTAGAACCGTCATTTTATTTACTGCTTATAGACCAGGCAACTTTGTGGCCGTTCGGTAAGGTCACGTCAGCGTAAAATGACGGTTCCGTATAGGATGCAGGTTCGAATTCTGTCAAAGGACGAATATTTTCTATGAAAATTTCTCGGACATTTAGGCCGGTAAATGTTATTTAATACTGTTTATTATAAACAGAGCATTTACTTAAATACTTGTATCTATAAAAAAGAACGTTAAACATAAAAATGTCTTTAATAAATAAATTGTCGGACTTTGTCCATTTCTTAATATATATATATATATATATGAAACATATTGTTATACATATAATTAAGTAACTCAACGTAAGATGTGCAATATATGGTTACATATATAGAGCAACATTTTTAAGTATAAAATATTATGCAAGATTCACAATGCATAAAAGGACATTCGCAATATTCTGAGGTTATCTATCTTATGTTTTACCATAAAAAAAGACTAAATATGTATAGCGTTATCCATATTATAATTTTAGTTGAACGAAATCAATAATATTAATTTAATAATGTAACTTATATTAAATAATAAAAAAATAATTAAAAAATAGTTATTAATTAGAGGACCGGTACTTAGTATCATTTACATTACTAATAATTAAGAATTATTCTATACTTATATATATATATATATATATATATATATATATATATATATATATAATATTAAAAATAACTGATTTTAATATAGTTTTTGCTACACAGTAATGACAATGTTTCAAAAATGGAAGCTAAAAACTTCAAATTTAATTTTGTAATTAAATTAAAAATATTAGTTCCATTTCATCTTCAAGCGAATATTGGAGTAACTTATTTAAATTTACTGAGTTTTAAACGCACAGAAAAATTCATAATTCACTGTTTCCAAGGATACAGAGAAATCCACTCATTCAGACAGATGGTGGTAGCATGTTGATTTTATTAACTTTTGTTAACTTTTCTGTTAATATCTAGTTATTTGATTTACGCAAATTAATATATATATATATATATATATATATATATATATAGCAGAGAGGAAAATAAAAACTTGAATATTATGTTAAGCAATAAAAAGCTAAGAATTAATAAAAATTAAATTTCAAAATTTGCTTAACGTGCATAATAAACGTTTTTCATAACATATACTCTGCTAATAATACAATACTCTTCTCTTGACACATGGATGTTAAATATCTCATAAGCATAAGCTAATCTTTGTGTAAAAGAATTAGGAGTTTAATTAGAAAACAATAATCCATACATATACATAGTACAACAATAGTTGTCGCTAAGTGCCTGTTTCATGCTTGAACACAATCTTTCGACCATGGACGTTTATTATGCATGTAAAATGGTTTGAAGATTCTTTTCAAACATAAAACAAACTATCACCGTTCAGTGTTGATCTCGGTGTCCAATTTTATTCTTATATACGCTCTATATTGAGCTCTTTTATCCACGAATATGACACATCTTAAAACTATATCTGTATTTGTATATATATATATATATATATATATATATATATATATATATATATATATATATATATATATATGGACTTTCCTGTCGGTTTCGACGTATGAGGATCTGACAACTTAAAAAAAATTCAGTTATGAAATTTGTGCGATAATCAAGCAAGGTATGTTCAAGGGAAGCCGCATTTAGAGCAAAATTGTCGATTGTTGGAAGAGATCACTGTTAGATTGGCTGATCTTTCAGATTGTGCCCTCGCTCCTGGAAAACGATTCAGACTAGCAGATTAAGAACGCCTGAGTCCACTAAAACATGTTGATCTCCATTATATCCGCTCCAATGTTAAGCGCTCAAGGGTGTTATCAGGGATTTTGAAGGCTGACAAGTTGCACTTTTTACCTTGTCTTTGTATCTAAGCCGTGAGCGTCCTACATTCCTGTTGCCCTGATCTAACTGGCTGTACATTAGGATCTTGTGTATCCTGTCATCAGACATTCTCAAGGTATGACCAGTCCACCGAAACTGAGACTGTATGAGGAAAGACTCGATTCCTCTAACATTACACTTGTTAAACAGGTCTACATTGGTTGTCGTGTCTTGAAAGCTAACTCCACAGATGGCACGCAAATAGCTCACACACCGACACACACACACACACACACACACACACACACACACACACATATATATATATAATATATATATATATATATATATATATATATATATATAGTTGGGGAGGAAAATTTCTGTTAATAATGAATTTTATTTCTTTTATACCGCTTTCCTCCTCCCCTTACAAAAGCATGTTATATATATATATATATATATATATATATATATATATATATATATATATATATATTGAAATTAAGAGAAATATTAGTAAAATTTTTTAATCCGGTGCTCTTAATGATTAATTTTACTTTTATTTTCTTTTAGTTTTTTGCAAAACAGTGCTCAATACAATTCTGCAGAGCATAAATATTATAAATTTACTAGTTTAAAAATATGGTTCCATTGCTACACAAGAATTACCATTTACCAAAAACAGACTCTAAAATCTTCAAATTTAATTATAGAATTAAATTAAAATTCCTTGTACTCTTTCATTTTCAAGCGAATTTTTGAAACATTGAAATTCATGTGTAGCGACGAAATCATTTTTTTTAAACTAGTAAGTTATATATATATATATATATATATATATATATATCAGTTACTGCACATGTTGTCACATCAACGTAAACATAAAACTTAGTGCGATTAAGTTCTAAACAACGAAACACATCACATAAAATATCTCTTATCCATTTTTTATACTCATTTCTTGTGATATATAAAAAAATATACAGGGTGTGTAAAAAATCTTGACTTAAATTAAAATGTGAGTATTTGAGTAAGAACAGGCAAAGGAAATATTATAAACTTCATGTTTAACAGTAATCGATTTATTTATGAAAATTTGACCAAGGTATACAATTGTATGTGGATTTAAAACTGATTTCAAATACCTTCAGAAATGTTCAATATTCACACCACCTGTGACACGACACAAGTTAAATCGGTAGTCCAGCATTTAACAAACACACTGAAGTAAGTCTTGCGTAAGAATATCCAACGCTTCAGTGATTCTCTGTTTAAGTTAGTCTCGGCTTGTATGAAGAGTGGGGATATAGATCTATACTTTCACATAACCCCATAAATAAATCACATGATGTCAAGTCAGGTTAACGTGGTTGTCATTTTAATAGCACAGTACCATAATCACTGCCAAACACGATCCCTCTTCTTGGTAGATTCTCATTGAGATATATTTGCACAGTCTACTTTTTACACATGCTTACATGGCACATGTGAGAGGGTATCCCCCAGGTGAGACTCCCACCAAGTTATTCCAGCCGCTCGATATCGCCGTGAACAAACCGTTTAAGTACAACCTCAGGAGTGTCATATGGGAAAAAATGGAAGATCGACGGGGAACATAGCTTCACAAATACCGGTCGCCAGCATCGAGCCAGTTATGTCCAGATAGTTGAATGGGTCACTCGAAGTTTAGGTGAACATCAAGGTTTCTACTATCAACAACGGATTCCGTAAAACAGAATTGTGAGATGATTTTCTGTAATCCCAACCAATATCATCCTAGCAGTGAAGATGGAGGCGATCCTGCATTGGATATTCAGACAATTGCACCTGGCATCATGGAATTGTACACCCAGCTTTACAAAGATGATCCCGAAGATGAGAATTTTCACGCTTTTGAAAGTGAGTGACGGAATTCTCTCTAGTTTTATGAAATAAAATCTTTTTGTAAGAATGGAAAATGATGTATCTCTATTGATATTCGCATAAAACTACAAGGTCTTACTGTAAATATCTATAAAAAACGTTAGTAGCAATGAATTATCGAAAAAGATATGCGGGTTATAGGTCGGTGTGGATTATACAAGGATTTTGTACTGAATTTATAGAAGTGCGTGTTATATACAGGTGTGGACTATCGTGTGGAAAATACGGTAATTAAGATGAAAGAAATCCTAGTCAAAAATGAATAATGGTTGACAATGTTTCATCTAATAGAAATTACAGATAATATTAATTAGCTACTAATACTACTAGTGGAAATAAAGCAACTGAAATTAAAATGAAAGAAATCCTAGTCAAAAATGAATAATGCTTGACAATGTTTCAACTAAAAGAAATTCAAAATGATATTACTAATTCAAAGTCGAATAGCGGAAAGCACGTGGACTTTAAGATGAAAGATGAAAGAAACACTAATCAAAAAAATTAATAGTGTTTGACAATGCCTCATCTAATAAACATTGAAGATAATATTGCTATTTGTTTACTAATCAATGACTGTGTTTAATTGCAGTGACAAGCAACTGAATTTAAGATACTGACTAATCAACCATGAGAAATCGTTGACAATGTTTCATCTTATAAACACTGAAGATTATATTTTCTTTTACTCGATAGCGCTTTCCTTTTTCTCGTATTGTTCGCTCATAAAAAAAAAAAAAATCACAGGTAAAATATCGCGTCGGGATAGAAAATCAATCATTGCCAGTCAGTATTTTCTGATTGTTGTTGATTGCAATTCGTATCAGTCTTCTTTTTTTTTTTTTTTTGCTTTTAAAGAAAAAAAAAATACTGCGTTCAACAATCTGCCATGTTTCTTGACGCAATTCAGCGTCTTTTAATTCGCCCCGCTCCTCTTCCTCTCCCTATTTCTCCCTACTCTTATCTGCACTAACTCCCACTCTCGTTTTACGCTTCTCTGATTGGTCTCCTGCAATTTTCTCTTCTGTTTTATATATGGCTGTTTTTCTTTTAGCTTCGTCTTCTGCTAAAAACCCGCATCTTTTCATTATATTTCCAATCCACAAGTCTTTCTTTGTGTTTTTTCGTTCATTTAGAAGTTTCCTCATTTGTTAATCTGTCCTTTTACTGTCTATGAAATACAGCCGCGCTCAAAAGTTTAAGACCGCCGAACAGATAAAAATAAAAGACCGTACCCATATCAATGACTGTCTATATATCTGAGTTGAGGTATTGTAACTATTTACACTAGTTATATACTTCGGACTGCTTTCCTCATCTTTATTGCCATATTCATGACGTTTGGACCGTTGTACGCTCCGACCATATTCAGGATCTGACTATATTTCTGAGATGGGGTATTGTAACTATTTACATTATTTACAGTATTCGGAATATTTTCGTCATCTGTATTGTCATATTCACTATGTTTCGGTTGTTGTACAATCCAGTCCTCTTCAGGAGATATACGTTGGAATTTCGAACCGAACACTTTAATCCACGCGTGTAGATTGTATATCACCTGAAGTTGTCGGAGGGTATAACGGCCGAAATGTAGTGAATATGAAAATAAAGATGAAGACAACAGTCCGAATAATGTTAATAGTGTAAATACTATTTCAGTATATCACATTTATTCGAAGCAGTTTATCTTATAGTAATTTTAATATAAACTAGTATTTAGTATTGTCAGTTTTTGCTTTGAGAACGATTTCGTACGACGCGACATTCTCGCTATGAGACTATCAATATTTTGTAGAATTCACAGAGGTCGTGTTACATTTGATAACGCCCACAAGAAACTTGGTTGGCTGTTTGTCTGCAGCCTTATTCTTCATATAATCCCCGAAATCCTCTATTTAAGGTCAGTGCTTGTACCAGAATATTCCTACGTAGTGACTATTAAATTTCAAAGACATTTTTTATACATTGTTCTACTTGTGGCATGGTGCAGCGTCAAGCAGTATGATGATGCAACCGTTTATCTGCATGTGGATCTCTAGTTTATCCTGTAACAGTTCCAGATACTTTTGACCATTCAAAGTTATTCTAGGGTCATTTTTATACTAATGTTCACTTAAAGTCAAAGAGCGAATGAAACACACGGTTTCTGTGCACTCTTGTATGAACGTAAGCAAAAGCATGAAGTCCGCGTTATGTAAGAAAGAAAATGTTTAAAAATCTAGACATGTGGATGTCAAGATTGGAATGTTCGATAAATCATCATGCAGGCGATTTTTTTTAATTGTTCCACACTAACAAAGCAGAAATGCCACGAGCACTTAGGAGGTTACAGGGAGTGAAAGTGAAAGTGAAAGTAAAATACAAACAGAATATTTAGAACAGAGCGGACTGAGGAAAGGAGAAAAATGAGCAGGGTTCAAGAAAACTGGAGTTAGATTTAAATAACTTTTGAAACCTTTAACTATTCCCGTATATTTTCGGATTTTGGAAGATACTAAACCTTCACATTCATGTGTATGGTTGCAGAATATTCTTATCCTAATACCAGAAATTATTTTAATAACCACTCATCTTTCAGTGGCCAGAAGTAATGTCGACTTCGAAGAAGCTTCGTGTAGAAAAAAAACAGAAGATCGCTGTTGGTCTCTTGAAATGGTTTTAAATAAAATTACACTTTAAATAAATTAGATTTGTTATTATATTTTGAACGACTATCATTTTATTTTATTTATTTTTTATCATTACACTCCAAGCAAGGCAGGAATGCTACTATTTCGCAGGGAATAAAAGGGAAAGAAAGTTAAAGAGAAGAATGAGAGGAGGAAAGATTGAGGAAACGACAAAAGATGAAAGGGATTCAAGAAGACAGAAGATGGCGACGGAAGTTGCATTTAAAATTTTCAAAATTGTATTTATCAGGGAAGCAAGTAAATGGGAGGGAGTCCCACAGGTTGGAAATGCGAGAAAACAAACTGTTGTTATAGAAGTGGCGTTTGCTGTAAGTTATTTCGACAGTAAAACGATGGGACCTAGTTGCCAATCGAGTATCACGCTTAAATTCATGTGGTCTGGGCACCAGTGATAAAGCTCATCAGAGTAGTTGCCATGAAAGTTAGTTATAGAAAAGTCAGAGAGAAGACATGTCACATCGGTAGTAAAATGACTGTAGTCGCGATGACTCTTCTAGAGATCAACAATTCTTGGCAAGAAGCTGCCCGAGGAGAAACCACTCGATACAAATGAAATAATAAGGTGAAGGATTATTCCTCCTTCTGCAACTCTTAGTCTCTGGAAAAAGGGCTCGTTGTAGCATGCCCACGGTCTATAATAGGTATGTCTATATTCACATAAATACAGAAGTAAATACTGTATCTTAGTCTAGAGTTAGAGATTCGTCCCCAACTGTGCTGGTCAAACTCTCTGCCTCCGGGCAGAGAGGATCCCAAGACGAGGCTATGTCGAAGGGCAGAGTCTTGTCTCTGGAAACAGCTACCCGACCCCGTTTTATACGGGGTCTACTGCGAATTTTTATCCGAGCCTACGGGCTCGGATACCCCACATTAAATACGACCTTGTACCACATCTGACCGCGTGTGGTGGTTGGTAGATATCCTAGAGTTGGAGATTACTGTGAAATTCACTTGACTCACTTCTAGCAGTTGACTACTTCTACTCGCCGCTGACGAAACATATATGTGTTGTTATTGTTCTAAGTATTATCATTCATTCCCAACCTTCGTTTGATTATTCTATTCAGTAACCTTCTCTAGTTTCTAACAGGGCTATAGGGTGTAAAACAACCCATTACCCACAAAGAGATATTTCCAAACTCAACCTTTTGGGAGAACCATCGTTTTTATAATATACTAGCAGCATGGCCCGGCATTGTCCGAGCTTGATTCAAAAATAGTACGACTAATACAGCAATCGCTATCACTTGACTTAAAATATTTTTGCACTTCCTTGCCTTTAGAGGAGTGCCCTTTGCCGTGCTGATGTTGTTACATGCCTTACTTCTTGGCTATCTCACACTGCCAACTTTTTCTAAGCTCTATAGTAAACATTAAATCTGTTACGAAAAAAGAACTAAACAAAATAAACAATACGATCAGCTTTAAAAATCCGGAAAAAACATTTTTAAGGGTTGACCGATTGTCGATTTGCACTCTGTTTGGTGGGGGTGCTCAGAGTTGAAACTTCACATGATGAGGCCCAATGGCCTCTTCATAAATCCGCTCGGTTTTCGATAAAAATCGACATGCGGGTCAGACGCAATCTGGGCGTATCGGTTTTTGGGTTTTATCGATTTTCCGCGCTGTTTAGGGGTCCGTGGTCATGAAACTTCTGGACAACACTTCTAATGGTAGACTCTAAGAGGGGGTCAAATTTGGTTGAAATGCGATCATTCCTTCTGTAAGCAGAATTTTTTCGATTATCGATTTTTTCGATTATCGATTTTTTCGGAACCTGATTCCGAACTCAAAAATCGGGCTTCGCCATGTCATTTGCAAACTTGTGTAGAAAACCGCATCGAAATTGGGTGAGAAATGCGGCCTGGGCGAGGTAACAACGCCCACGACAGACACACAGACAGACAACATGAGAAATAGAGATAGTAGATTTTTCCCCATAATTTATTCCTGTGTGAATTCTGACGTAATTTTAAAATGCAACAAGCTGTTGCTGTGTGGATTCATCAAATATTTTTTTCTCATTCTTCCAATTTCTGAAATCCATGGTATTTAAGAATGCCAGCGTTTTCTTTTTCATTTCCACAGCCAATCCTGTTTTTCGAACAGTTTTACACTATTGTAACTTACTGACCAATCTACGAGAAAACAGTCACACAACTCAGATTTGTACTTCTGAGATGAAGTTTACCTCGAATCTTTTTCCATGAACTTGTCGATGATCATAAAATGAGGAATTTGGTCATACAGTTACCTTGATGGGTTGTTTTTCTGGAACAGGCACTTTTCTTTCGGTAAGAATAATAGACATCAAATTTCAATTAAAATTTCCAAAACTGAATACCCTTCTCTGTGTAACGTCATTAATAAGACTCTTTCAATGTCAGAAAACGATCATATGTTACTTATCTTTACATATAAAAATACTGAAATATACTCTTTAAAACATCAGGTTTAAAACTACTCAAAACTGTTTTACATTGTTTCAAACGTCAGCATGATGGTATATTGTTATTTTTTTTTTAAAAAATCATTCCATCCCAAGCAAGGCGATAATGCCACTAAGCTGCAAGTGGTTACTGGAACTGATTGATTGACTGATTTTTATACGGTTTATCAACAGTTTACATGTGTGTGAGAATTGGATGGAAGTACACACAATAAAGAAAAAAAAACAACAAAAAACAACAAAAAAACAAATATATCAGTACAATAGGCAAATCAATTCTACTAATGCTATCATCGTTCCTCAAATTCAGGTAAGCAACACCTCACGCCAAAAACGAGTCTCCCCTTTGAATGGGCGTACCATGATTTTATGCACCTGATCAGTGAGCCAACGAGTGCCCAGATCCAGCCAATAAAAATGGTTACAAGCCATGCCAACACATCCGTCCTCACGAAGTGTTGCCTGATTCACCTTCAGTCCGTGGTTCGCTAATTTGCCGTATCCACACTTCATTGCAAAACATACACGCGACTCTGTCTCTTTTGGGTCGCCAATGTTAGTCTCCGTTACGGGAGGTTATTTAAAAACAGAAAATAAAATTTAGATTGTAAGATTTTTTTTTTTTTGTCGGGAGTGGGG